GGGGGGTCGGGGTGGTGGTGATGATGATGATGATGATTTTACCAGACCAAACAAGAGCAGGGAAGGAGCTAGAGTTTGTGAGAGGATTGTTAGGAGTGGATTAATTCACACAGCCCTTCCTTTCTGCCGCCTCAACTACTGAACTACTGGTCACCACAGGGTTTGCTGGGTTGCCTAGTGAGACTCACCTGGTGACTGCTCTCCCCACAGACTCGGACCTCTGCCTCAGATTTGCTATGTTATGTACTCTTAATGACAAGTGTGACCGCCTGCGCAAGGCCTATGGGGAGGCATGCTCAGGGTTCCGCTGCCAGCGCCACCTCTGCCTCGCACAACTGCGCTCCTTCTTTGAGAAGGCTGCAGAGTCCCACGCCCAGGGCCTGCTGCTATGTCCCTGCAGTCCCGAAGATGTGGGCTGTGGGGAGCGTCGGAGGAACACCATCGCCCCCAGTTGCGCCCTCCCTTCTGAAATCCCCAATTGCCTGGACCTTCGGAGCTTCTGCCGAGCGGATCCTCTGTGCAGGTGCCCTGTGAGGGTGGGCAGGATGGGCAGGGATGTGGAACACCTCTGTATCTGGGTCTGGCTATCCTTCTGCAAAAGCTGCATCTGATTCCCCACGAAACTGAGAGCCTGATAGCTGTTTGGATATTTTGTGAAATCCTCCCTCTGGCCCTTCCTTCTTCCTTCCTGTAGCCCAGGATGTCCACCACATTATGTAGCCTACGCTTCCCCCTGGATTTCCTGAGTGCAGGGGATTATAAAGACACCCCACTGTTCCTGGTCATGAGACTTACTTTATTTTACTTTTTGAGGCAAGATTTCATATAACCCTGAACTCCTTTGATCCATCCCTTCACCTCCTAAATGACCACACAGGGGCACAAAGTGAGATGCTGCCTAAAAACAAAAACAAAACCAAGTTAAAAACAAACGAAACCCCCTATGTTTATTTATTCATTTATTTAAGGGGTGAGGAAAGTCGGGTAGGCCTGCAACCTCAGAGTTGCACTTGTGGAAGCCAAAGGTCAACTCTCTCCTTCCACTAAGTAGGTTGTGGATAAAAAACTCAGTCTTCAGGCTTGGTAGTAAGTGATTTCATGTCACTGGTCCAGAAATTTTTTCTTTTCTTCCTTCCTTCCTTCCTTCCTTCCTT